GCCTTTCCTACTTTGGGATCATCACAGCTAAGCTCGTTAAAACCTCTAGCTCTGTGGACCAATCAGATTCCAGTATTTTGACAACTTGAATTCTGGTTAACTTGAACTATTATGAAAAAATCCTCAATAAAAGATCTGAAACTTGAATAATTTGGGGCCTTTACTTGTTTCAGTTAACTCATCACAAGAACTTCTGACTGCACGGTAAAAAGGTCGACTAAAAGAAAGAATAATGAATGAAAATGATCTTCCTCCCGTTACTAGCCCCGCCTCTTCTTTGTTTAGCCCCACCCCTGCCTGTCTGTGTTTTTATTTATTTATATCTATGTTTTTATTTTCTATGCTCGCACTGTAAAAACAAATCCTGCATCCTGATAGGCTACTGTGACTCTCCGTCTTCTTGTTCAGAGTTGTCTTTTTTATTATAGCTCCTCCTCCTCCTCCCTAAGCCCCGCCCTGAGCACTTAAATCCCGCCCCTTCCCCCGTGTTTTCTCTGTGGGTTTTGTGAATTTTGGCAAAGTTGTAGCTGGCTGAATATTTATACGTCACTGTGGTTGATCACGCCGCCCCCCGCCCTGCCCGTCACTGAGCTCACCGAGGGAAACTCTTTTTGTAACATACAGATTATAAATAGTGTATTTATATCTCAGATTGTTTTTGTATAAATGGATGTTGAGTCATGTCGTCTTCATGGGGTTTTAGACATGTGTGTGTATGTGGTGGCGCCACACTGAAAAACAAACCATTGTTTTGTATCAAAAAAAGAAAAAGCTGAATGTTAATGTCTTCACACATTTATAGCACTGTCAATCAAAGCTGATGTGTCCAATCAGCTCCACTCATTTTGTTTTTAATGTAAATCTTGTTTGGCTGTACTGAAATGATTTCTTCACAGTGAATAAAGTCAGCAGGTCGCTCTGACAGACTGTCGCTTTCTTTAATGCCTCAAGTTCATTTTGTTAAGATTAAAATATGAGTGAAACAACATACAAAGTCTGACATGTTGATCATGTAGCTGGCTGAATATTTATACGTCACTGTGGTTGTCAATAACCTGCTTATAGGGATAAATTGAGCACCAATATCTCAGAGCAAAACAATGGCCGATACAGCCAACAAGACTCCGTTGACAAAACCAGTATTTTTAACAGATATGTCACAGATAATATACACTCTTCAAACTGTCAGCTGTCAAACAGAACAGCTGTAATATCACTCACCACCTGACTCCGTAGACAAAAACTGTGATTTTATCTTGCAGATCATCATAACATCGTAACTTCACCCAATGTGGACAGAAACAAAATAAAACTCATCAAACACCAGAACCTCAGACCAAAACACTGGGCGCTACGGTTGACCAGACTTCATTGACAAAACCAATAATTTTACATTGCACAAAATGAAACTCACCTAAACTGTCTTTATTAGTCTTTCCAACAGTCACAAACTCTTGTTTGGTTAACGGAGAACAAACAGGAAACAAACCCTCCACAACATTTTATTTTTCCGCTGCCTCCTGAGCAGCTTTATTAAGAATCTAGCTAGGAAGCTTTAGTTAGGGAAGAAGGGATAATGGGGTATCAGGTGGATCGTTTAGGCTTCTTTGACCACATACTAACTCCAATCCAGACTGGAAAACATTAAAAAAGCTGAACAACCATCTCGACTTATCTATTTTTCAGTGTTTCAGAGGAATCTTGGATCGTAATGGAGAGGAAATTAGGTAAGTATGATGTTTGCTATTTTTTTGTGCCTAGGGGTTAAGGGACACGTGGGCTCTTTGACCACATACTAACTCAGTGGATAAAATTGTACTCTGCAAAAAGAAGAACGATCTGTGGACCCAAAGTCTACTCCTCATATGTCTTTATATGATTATTATTATATGAATTTATATGATTTTATCACCCTGTAACATTAATATTTCTTTTAATGAAGCTCAGCTGACTGAGAGACAAACAGTTTAACATTCAGCTGCTAATACAACCTGTTTCCTTTCATCCAGAACGAGTTCCTGTAGTTAACAATTTACATCCTGTGTTCGACAAGTCTCTTATCATTTATGTTTCATATCTGTTTTCCTTTTATTCATTTAGTTTAAAAGTGATGATTAAAATGTCTTTTTTTTCTTTTGAAAACAGAGAAAACGATTAATGAACTTTTATTAAACGGCTGCGTTCCCTCAGCGGACACAAAAGAACAAACAGGATTTGATTAAGATAAATCAGATAACCTCAAACCTCATTATTACACAGACTTTTATTTATTTCTCTTTGATTTCACGTCTCTGATTTTTTATTTTCACAGTGAACTCACAAAGATTCAGCAGTTTATTAAACATGTTTTTTTTCTCATTCATTTACATTCAAGGCTTCTGCTAATCCAATAATTCACCTCCTCATGGCCTCAGCTCTTTCTGCTGTTTCTGATGCATTATGGGTACTTCTGGATGTCAAATACAGTGCTTGGAGGAGCACAGAAACATTACAGTATCTAACCCTAACCCTAACCCCACAGTATCAACATGATAGGGAAGCTGTTATTTTAAGGTAGAAAAGTTACATAATGGTGCTTTAATTAAAAAAAAATCTCTTTTTCTAAAATTTCTAAAATAATTATAAATATAATTTAAGTTTGATAAACTATAATATTATTACATATCTATATTCAACATTCACATTTTTCAATGCAATTGTTACCTGCCGTAAACGAAAGCAAAAGTGTAACTTTTGAAAAAGATGCAGTTCAATGCAACTTCAATGCTGTCTCAGGGAAGCATTGAAGTGATTTAAGTTAAAAGGCTGTGGTGTATTATATCGCTTTATACAGAATGTATATGAACTAAAATGTTTTGCGCTGCTCAGGCTGAAAGAATATTACAAAGGAGAAACATTGTTGAAAAAAGAACCTGAAAATGAACAAACAAATACACAAGGTGAAATTTATTCCCCATCCAAAACACTGCACAGGATCAGAGGGTTAACCCTAACCCACGAGTAAACGGGAGACTCGTGGATCCCCGTAGAACCATTCTCATTCAGATAGTTTGAGGTCAGAGGTCAATGGATCTTTTTGATAATGTCAATTTTCAACAAAATTTTGCCTAACTGGAGGATTATTTAGCCTTCTTCCAGACATGCTAGCATGACCTGGTTGGTACCGATGGATGTGTTTGTCATTTAGTTTATTACGACACCGGGAACTCCATCTGGTATCCAGGAACCCAGGACTCGAACTGCAGGGTCCACACAGACCCAGTATTACTGAGGGTCATCAGGATCAGACCGCTGACTCCTCCCCCATCCTGTTTCTTCTTCCTGTCTTTAATCTTCAGGTCAGTTTACGTCAGACGAGGTCAGGTGCATTGTGGGGGACACGTGTGATGTTTTGATCTTCCGCTGCCGTGGTTATGACGACTAGGCCTGTGGTGGGCGAGAGACCTTTGACTTTTGAGAAAGAGAGACAGAGAGAGAGACAGAGAGAGACAGAGAAAGTGAGTGAGACAGAGACAGAGAGAGAGACAGAGACAGAGAGTCAGAGACAGAGACAGAGGGAGAGAGAGACAGAGACAGAGAGAGAAAGAGGAAATCCCTTTTGTTGTCAAAAAGTGGATGTGTCCCTTTAAAGAGAGAGCCAGTGTGTGTGCGTGTGTGTCCAGACCATAATAATCACAGTTTCTCTTTTTCTTCTGTCGCAGGATAACATGTGATTCTGTTTCTGTATCCAGGCAAAGCCTTTACACACACACTCACACACACACACACACACACACACACACACACACACACACACACACACACACACACACACACACACTCGGAGCTCGGGGGTCTCCCTGAGGACCTGATTGAGAGCAGGGAGCTCTGGTTGCTGTGGCAGCAGCAGTTCCCCTCCTCCATCAACACTCCTTTTCCTTTTTTCACTTGTTTCTGTCTCTCCTTTGTTGTCTGTCTGTCTGTCTCTCTGAAATCTTTTTAAACTAACAGCAGTTATCAGAGCAGAAGGACACACAGAGATAAACCTGCAGCTCACTGGGAACCGGTTAGTGAACCAGTTACTCAACCAGTTAGTGAACCGGTTTGTGAACCGGTGAGTGGATCGATTAGTAGACTGGTTAGTGAACCGGTTAGTGAAGAGGTCACAGCTGCACTCGTATTAAACCGACATGTTTTGTGTTTCATCATAAAGACCTTTCATGGTGTGAACCAGAATGCAGTTTCTGCTGCGCTGATGCCTGCAGCGCCCCCTGCTGATCAAACACTTTAAGATCCACACAGAAGTACAGTAATGTTTGTACTTTGTTCCTTCCGACCTTCAGATCAGAGAAAGAAACAATTAAACATAGAATGAGAATAAACTCTTCCTGACTCTCGCAGTAGTAAGACGTATCCAGACTGTGGCGACCCTCCAGGAGTGTGGTGGGCGGAGTCAGGTCAGTCTGGTCTGGAGGCCGTCAGTCTTTCACGTCAGAACCAAAAATGACTTATTGTTGGTTGAACTGGGGGCTCGTCCAGGATCAAATGAGTGGGTTTGGTTAAGTAGAACGCAGGCATTTGGGGGCTTTGGTATGTTTTCAAAACGACAGACTTTGTTTGGGGAGTATCATACTTGAGTTTCAATTATTCTTTTGGGGCAGAGAAAGAAAATTGTCCTTCAAAAAAAAGTTTTTGGGTCAAGACGAAAGTCTGTCTTTGCCTACGGGTGCAAATAAAGTAACCAAACACAATCTGAGCAATAAAAAGAACAGACAGCTGGTTTTAGCTGCTGAGCTAGCTGCTAACATGCTAACATGGCAGCCTGCCCTGACAGCAGCTGGCACTGTGTGTGTGTGTGTGTGTGTGTGTGTGTGTCTGTGTGTGTGTGTGTGTGTTAGCAGACGGCACTAATGTCTCTGTTAGCGATTAGCCTGTTTCATTCATGCTGTCAGAGATGCTCTCTCCCTCTCTCGTTTTAGTTGCAGCTCGTTCTCTCAGACTGATGCTCTCCATTACTGTTGATCGATACACAACCTATTGATTGGCCTGATATTGATCGGTATCTAAGTGTGTGTGTCTGTGACCTGTCTCACCTCGTCCAATCAGGCTGCCAGCAGACAAAAGTGTGTGTGTGTTCAGCTCGTTAATACACCTGTTTCCTCATTAGTGATCTGATTGGATCGTTCAGACTCACCTGACCCACCTTAAAGAGCAGACACAAACTTTAAAATGTTCTTTAGTTAAAGTTTCCATCCAGCTCATTTTACTTTTTATGTTTATTTCTCTCATTAAAGAACTCAGTATTAAAGATTTAAAAAATAAAAGGTTTATTGAGGTGTTTAATTGGTTATAACTGATCATTAAATGATTATCATCCATGTGAGCTTTTGGTCCCGTTTTATAGAGAAAGGCCAGTAATTCTGGCCTCTAGGTATTGTAGCCTTCCTACTTTTTTATATAAGATGATGAATAAGGAATGTATGAGCTGTGATAAAGTGATGAACGTGACATATACAATATCACCATAATCACGTAAACAATATCACTCCAAAGTAAACAAACATAAACTCTATTAGAGTCCGAAATATGTAAAGGACGCCAACACCAGAAATCTGGAGGAAAACTCACAGGCTTTATTGTTAAGAGAATGAATCTGAACAGGAATCAAACATCAAAAGGTTCCTGAACAAAAGGAACAAACATTAGGGGAACAGCTGAGGCAGCTGATTCACTCTAAACTACACCTAAAATAAATTAAAACATGACTGAAAACTGGACCAGCTGTGATCTCCAGCCCAAACTGAAATAATAAAGTAAAATAACAAAACCCAACACTGTAGACCAGTGGTTCCCAACCCCCAGTAGGGGTCTCCAAAGCTTAACTAGGGGTTTCGAGGTGTGGAAGACAAATGTATTACCTAATTTGATTTGATCCTGATATTGTCTTTCCTGTTTCCTGATTAAATCGCTGTTTTTTGACATGGCAGTAAACTCTGTAATGAGACAAACTATTTTACATTGATTACAGTAAAATGGTGGAAACTTCTGTCAGGAACCTGAGTGAAGTTTTCTTCAACCCAGATTTCTTCTACAAAGGCCTTCTTGAATTTTAGGGGTTTAACGTGGGAAAATATGGAAAAAGTGTTTAGTTAATTTCCTTTTTGTCTATTTTAATGATCAGGAGTCTGCTCAGGGTACTTTCATTTGGTAATTGACCGGATTGGGTGTCTGACTTCCTGCCAGCAGCAGCTTCCATCAAAAATAGACCAGCTGCATTTTGTTTTGTCAGAATTTTAAATAGGTTTATGTTTGATATGATACTGAAGTGTATATCACAGTATCATCTGCATACAAATGTATATATGAATAAAAGAGGACCAAAAAAAGACTCTTGTGGGACACTGATACCAACCTTCAGAGCGCTTGATTTATATACCTGTACATTCTGTATATTTATGTTTACCTGATCCAGACTGTGTTGGACCTGAACAGACCCAAACACACAGAAAAACAGTGACAGATCCACCAATGAGAGAGTACACCTCACTTCAGTCTTGGGTTATCAGAGTCTGTGCAATCTTTCTTTCAGAGCAGCATACATACAGACGATGAAGAGGAGGAGGAGGAGGAGGGAGAAACTTTTCCCATCAACCCCTTCTCACCTCTGAATTGAATGGGTATTGATCTGTGGCCACTGCCATGGCAACACCCAATCGTCAGCTGGGGTCAGAGGTCAGAACACACATACATGTTTGTACCTGTCAGACAGTCTTCATCATTACAAGAGAATCTGTAAATCTGAACGTACAGTCTGTACTTTCTGCCACTAACAGGTAGTGTGATGAGGTGTTGAAGCAGCGTGGGATCATGGGAGTTGTTGTCTTCACCACCATTGGCGTCATTGCAGTCAGCTTCTCCCGGTTAGGATTCCTTCAGTGTTCATGGTTCAGGAGGTTTCTACCGGGAGCCCAATGATCCACAGAGGTCTCCTCCTCTCCAACACAAACAGACCCGCTGATTAAAACCACTAAACACACTGAATAAAGCAGTTCCACCTTAAACACACTGAATAAAGCAGTTCCACCTTAAACACACTGAATAAAACAGTTCCACCTTAAACACACTGAATAAAGCAGTTCCACCTTAAACACACTGAATAAAGCAGTTCCACCTTAACAATCACTGCTTCTCCCACGCTGTTGGACAGACAAAGGACGTCCCGGAGGGGCTGCGAGCCGAGCTGCTGCTAACGTTAGCTCAGCTTGTTTCTCTGATAACTTAAGATCCAGACGTCTGATGACTAAAATCCTTCATCCGGTTCAAATCTAGAGTTAAAAAGCACCAAGATCTAAACAGTGGATGGTAAACAGTCAGTGTGTGACAGCTTCTGATTATTGATTATTGATCAACTCCATATAGAACACAGCTCTAGAGTTTATACACTGTTTATTGATTATAGATTATTGATTAAATATAGAAGATAGCTCTAGAGTTTATACACTGTTTATTGATTATAGATTATTGATTAAATATAGAACGTAGCTCTAGAGTTTATACACTGTTTACACTGTTTATTGATTATAGATTATTGATTAAATATAGAAGATAGCTCTAGAGTTTATACACTGTTTATTGATTATAGATTATTGATTAAATATAGAAGATAGCTCTAGAGTTTATACACTGTTTATTGATTATAGATTATTGATTAAATATAGAAGATAGCTCTAGAGTTTATACACTGTTTATTGATTATAGATTATTGATTAAATATAGAAGATAGCTCTAGAGTTTATACACTGTTTATTGATTATAGATTATTGATTAAATATAGAAGATAGCTCTAGAGTTTATACACTGTTTATTGATTATAGATTATTGATTAAATATAGAAGATAGCTCTAGAGTTTATACACTGTTTAATGAGGAAACAGATTACAGATTTAGTGAGAGCTGTGAGCAGAGGACTGTAGATATTAATTTCAGTTTGTATCCACTGTGTCAGTTTGTTACAGTTTTTTAGATAATAACTTTATTTGTAACATCCTGATGTGAATCTACAGTCACACATAAAAACAACTTCACTTTCAAACTCCAGTTGAAACTCAGTTAAACTCAGTGAACTCTGGCAGATAAACTGTGGCCTCAGCCTGCTTATCAATCAGCCGATCGGTCCGCTGAGTCTGTGTCGCCGTGACGACTGGCGGCTGTAAACACGGTGGGGGAGGGTCCCCGGGGGGCGGCCATGTTTGTTGATTAAACTAAAACAAGACAAACAAAGAGACAAAACAAACTAATTACCTGCAAACAAACCTGATCGGCTGAGAGCGCTAACGAGGCTTAACGAGGTCAAAGAGTGTTTGCAGGAAGTGTGTGTGTGTGTGTGTGTGTGTGTGTGTGTGTGTGTGTGTGCAGGAAACACTGATGGAACGTTATTCTGATGTCGCTACATCCTGTTAGTGTCATGCTTGCAAACCACACACTCACACACACACTTTCTTTCTCTTTCACACACACACACACAAACACACACACACACACACATACACACACACAGTTGAATTATTGATGGTTCAGTGCGGTGAAGCTAAAACACTGTCTGCTTTTAATAAAACAACGTGTGTGTGTGTGTGTGTGTGTGTGTGTGTGTGTGTGTTGAATAAAATATCAGCTGTCATGTCGACGGATGAATTATGAATCTACACATTATGGAGCCGGTCTATCAATCACACACACACACACACACACACACACAGACACACACATTGACCCACAAAACTGTTTCTGTAAAAGACAAACACTGAGTGCAGAGAGGAAGGAAGGAAGGAAGGAAGGAAGGAAGGACAGTGAAGGATGGAAGGAAGGAAGGACAGTGAAGGATGGAAGGAAGGAAGGACAGTGAAGGACTGCAGAAGGAGAAGAACGTACAAAAAAGAGTAAGAGAAAAGGAATGGAGATGAGAAAAGAAAGAAGGAAATAAGATTTAAAAGTTATTAAGGCAGAAGTGAAGGAAGGAAAAAGGAGGGAAGGAAAGGAAACTGTAGAGACAAGGTTTTTTTTATCAAGGAAGGAAGAAGAAAGTCAAGAGTAGAGGAAATAGGATTATAGTAAGAAGAAGTGGATTAAGACAGATGGAAAGGATGGAGGGAAGGAGGATGGAAGGAAGTTAAAGAGGAAAAAAGGAAGGAACAAAGAAATGAAGGAAAGGAAGTAGAGAAAAGACAGCGACAAAGACACAGGAAGCAAGAAGGAAGCGAGGACAGAAAGGTAGAAAGGAAATGAGATTTAAATAGAGATCACAACAGAAGGAAAAAAGGAAGACGAAAGAAGGAAGAAAGAGGAAATAGGTTTTCAAAAGTGGAGTAAAACACTGGAAAGGAAGGAAGGAAGGAGCCAAGGGAAGGAAACGAGAGGAAAAGAAATGAGGTTTGAAAAGAGATTAAGGTAAATGGGAAGGAAGGATGGAGGCTGGGAGGAAGTAAAAGAGATGAAAAGAGGGAAAAGGAAGTGAGAGAGGTGTGTGTGTGTGTGTGTGTGTGTGTGTGTGTGTGTGTGTGTCCAGTCTGTCAAACTGCAGTTATTAATAACAATAACTGAATTTACTGCACACACACACACACACACACACCTCACTGTGTGTAATTGAGTTTCATGGGGTCTAAATATGATCCATGTCTGTTGTCACGGAGACAAGTGAGCGATTATCATCCTGCCTTTCTAATATCGGCCTGAACACACACACACACACACACACACACACACACACACACACAGAGAGACACACACACACACACACACACACACACACACACACACACACAGAGACACACACACACACACACACACACACACACACACACACACACACACACACACACACACACACACACACACACACACAGAGACACACACACACACACACACACACAGAGACACACACACACACACACACACACACACACACACAGAGACACACACACACACACGACACACACACACACACACACACACACACACACAC